GGTGAGGGCTGGCGATCACTCAAAATTACAGCTGTTCTTTAGGTAGCAGAGATCAGTTCCTCTGGAGAAAATGCTGGACTCAGTGTCATTATACCCTGCTGAGGTCGCCACAGCAAATTGACACTGAGTGTCCAAGGCCGGGGCACCCGCCCAGAGCCTCTTTCTAGAGGCCGTTGTATTTATTTCCACAAGGGGCCTTTTCCCTAGTTCTTAATACAACTGTAAGTAAGCAAAAGCCTTGAGTCTTCTTCCTCCAAGATTGATCTCGGGAAAGGGTGCCTGTGCGTGGGTGCCGGGGTTTCAGCAAACTCCCCTAACAATATGTACATTTTGTTCTTTTCCTGAGGCCTCTTGGCTGGGGGGGGGGGGGTGTTAGCCAAAACCCAAGCCAGTCCGCGCTACCACCAGCACCACCACCCCCGGCGCGAGCAATAAAACTCTCCCTTCCCCTTCCCTCCGGTCCAGACAGTTCCCCTCCATCCGCCCCGTCTCAAACTGGCAGCTGAGGCGCTGTGGGCGGGGGGCGGAGGAGAAGGAGAAGAAGGAGAAGGCGACGGCGCTCATTTCCCGCCCCGCTACTCGGCTGGGCTGAGTGGGGAGAGAAACTTCTGAGGCGGCGGCAGCGGCCGAACCGGGGAAAGGGGGCGGGATGAGAAATGGCGGCCGGTGGCCGGACAGGACTTTGCCCCCCGGGCGGCCTTGAGCAGCTGGAGCTGGGCCGGCTCCGGGACTCCTTGGCGGGCGGCGGCGGCGGCGGCGGCAGCGGCTCTTCTTGCTCTCCGTCGCCGCCGCTTTCGTCTTGCTCCAGACAGGCCTGGAGCCGGGACAACCCGGGCTTTGAGCCCGAGGAAGAAGAAGCGGCCAGGGCGGCGGCGGCGGGAGCTGGGCCGGTGCTGCAAATGGACGTGGAGTGGGGCCGCGGCGGGGCAGGCTCGCCTTCCGCCGGGGGCCCCAGCCCGCGATGCGGAGGCGCCGAAAGCGGGAGGCGGCGGCGCAGGCGGCGGGGGGGAGGACAGGAGGAGGAGGAGGAAGAAGAAAAGGAGGAGGAGGGCGACGAAGGCGAGCGGCCTTATCCTTCAGCAGGCGGAGGGGAGGGCGACGCGCGGCCCCCACAGTTCCCTCACGACGAGGGCGCCGGGCCGCCGCCTCACCGCGTCGCCTGGGCCAAGGGGCTGGCGCGACGCCTGCGAGGTGAGTAGTCGCCTGCCTGCCTGCCTGAGGAATGCGCCTACGCGCCTTGTGGGCATCCCCTGGGACTGGGAGACTGCGAAAGATGTTGTGTCTAATGCTCCCTCTAAGCTGTGGAGACTTGTGAGCAAAAATTCTACTTTGTGAGCTGCCGGCATTAAAGTTGTGAGCAGGCGATTTGGCTACTGCATAAATTAGTTTGCTCTGGAGCCACCCTTCCTGAGCTGAGACAAAAATGTGTGAGCCGGAGGCTTAAAATCTATGAGCTAGCTCACACTAACTCAGCTTAGAGGGAACACTGGTTGTGTCCCCCTGTCATAGCATTCGTATTCTGCATAGAGATGTGCACATTGAACAAGTTGTTGGGAGTGGGGCTCATGGATATGACCCCGATCACGCGCACACAACCCTCACACACTTTCATATCAGTAGAAAAAAGCAAGAGTCCAGTAGCACCCTAAAGACTAACAAAATTTGTGGCAGGGTAGGAGCTGTCCTGAATCACTGTTCACCAGTGACTCAAGAAAGCTCATCCCCTGTGATCACACACACTAAATAATCCACTTTCGATGTACGTTCCAGCTGGATTTTGCCAGTTCACAATGGAGTTGGAAAGTGCATTGAAAGTGGATTATTGTGTGTGTGCGCGTATGTGATTGCAGCCGAAGTCTTTAAGGTGCTACTGGACTCTTACACTTTTCCACTGCAACAGACTGACACGGCTACCCATCTTGACCTATCATCTCTGGCTGTAAGGATCTCCAGCTCAAGTTGCTGGAAACTTTTGAGTTTGCAAGTATCCATCCTGGAAATGGCATATATATGATGTCTGTTGAGAAAGTATTACCAAAGATTTTGACATGGGGATGAGATCAAACCGTGTGGTTGTAGTGGTTAGAGTGTCAAGCTAGGATCTGGAAGACCAGGTTTGATTACTAGGGAAGCTCGCTGGGTTACCTTGGGCCAGTCACATTCTTTCAGCCTAACTTACCTTATAGGGCTGTTGTGAGGATAAAATGGAGGAGAGGGGAAGGGTGTAAGCTGCTTTGGGTCCCCATGGGGGAGAAGGCAGGGTATAAATGAAGTAAATAAGTAAATCAAGCCTGGTATAATGGTGTCCACTTTGTGCTAACGTATTTGACAATGGGACTGTTGTCTGAAATGAAGAATTGTCCTTTATTTGCAAATTAGTTGGTATTCATCTAGGCAACTGATCAGCTTCTCTCATGTTTTTTGAAACCAGCTGCATCAGGACTGTTGTATTCTAATGGCGACCGCACATGCAGTCGCCCTTACGTATAGCCAGGCAAACTAACCTAGCTTCGCATCCGGAGACAATAGAAGGAGGGGGGTCCTAGAACCAGCCTATTGGCTCGTCAGGATCCTCAAGGGAACCTATGGTTGCAGTAACACTGTAAATACTCCTATCACGGATGTGTGTGTGTGTTGGGGTGTGGTTTGTACTTGTATTTAAAGCGGGTCTCTGGCCGGCTTCTGTATCTCCAGTTTTCTCTTTTTCCTAAGTAAAATA